CCAAACACAATTTAAGCTTTTAGGTGATTGTTCATACATAATCACACAAAAGAGGCTTCACATTCCAGATTCAAATCACCAAACCCAGAGCCATAAATCACCCACAGGCTCCAGAGAATCTGCAACCAAAAAGACTTTTTATTGTTTAACTAAAGGAAGAACGTTGTCAACGTTTTATAATTTGGCAAGACAGATCTGTTCAGAAATGGTGAAACAAGAGGCCCTAACAAGAGGTCACCTGACCCCTGCGACTAACAGACTACGTCTTTCTTAAGGACCAAGGTCCCATGAGAGATGAACAAAACAGACTTCAGCAGGAACTATCCATGACCTCAGACTGGAATGGCTTAAACCCCATAAACTTTACACACTAACACACTTTACATATCAAAATCCATAAAACTCATCCCAGAACAATTCTCGATGGACTTATAATCAAACATCATGCAACTACATTATTCTATGTTGTTTCTACAATATATGTGTGTGTCTAATATGCTTAGATGCCATACAATTCATAATTGTTAAATATTAGGTGTGTGAATGAAAGTGTGTCACATGCCTGTCCTGTCTTGTGTTGCACATGGGTGTTTGTTATGTTGTGCCATGTGCTGTTTTGATTGTTGATCCCTACCCCTCGTTATCTGATTAGTGTTTGAGTTGTTCCACCTGTCCCCTCTTGATTTGTTCCCTTTTTAAGTCTCCTCTTGTTTGCAGTCTTTGTCGGTTCATTGTCAGATGTTTCCTGGTTTGGTCTGCGTGTTTTTAGTCGGTGTTTGTTTTGCGTATTCAGTTTTTGTTCATGTTTCTTCGATTATGTTTTTTACCCCTTGTGGGTTTTTGCTTTGTGTTTTGTTTTCTTTTGTTAAATAAATCCTTATGCTGCATTTGAGTTCTCTCTCCCCTTTTGTATCGTGACAGAATGAACCGACCACTTTGGAGGACTCAGCAGTATGGGTATCACACTGGAACGAGGGGGAGGGATCAACAATCAAAACAGCACATGGCACAACATAACAAACACCCATGTGCAACACAAGACAGGACAGGCATGTGACAAAGTGTGTCGTCCTTCCTGTCAGAAGGATCGTATGTTCTTAATTTAAAAGATGGCTTGATTGAAATCTGTGTAAAATGTTTTGTATTCTTATAATAGTAATAATGTCTAAACTGTGGCCTGTTGTTCTCTCTGCTAGTGCTGGAGAGCAAGGAGATCACAGATAACGCATGATTTACAATAAGAAGAAAATAGAGCCACCTCCTAAATTAAGCCAGTGTCTAATTGGCCAGAACTCATCCTGGAGGTTGGACAAACTTTGAGTTTAAAATCTTAGACCCGAACACAGAAGCTGCGGGCTCTCTCTCGGAAAAAGTCTCAGCACAACAAGTCGGGTGGAGCAGACGATGGTTATAGTAACCATGTAGACGCATAGAGACAAAGAACCCAAATTAAGATCAGAAGAACAGGTTCAACAGCTTCATTCAAGCCATCATCTACTCTCGTCTCAATTTTCTTTCTTTTCTAAGTTTTTCTTTATTTTCCATTGTGAGTCTCAGTTCTAAGTTAAGTTTTGCGGCAAAGTTTCAGTCCACGTGTCTTCTGCAAAGCCAGCTTCAAACAAAGACTTCATCAACCCACCTCAGACCAGGCACGAGTTGACCAGCCAACGAACGAACTCGGGGAAACCCCCCTTCTACGACGAAAGGGGATCCCAAGAGAGAAAAAAAAGGAACGCAAACAAGCAAGTACTGCCTCCAGACTCTTAAACTGAACTGGTGTATTTTGATACAGATTTAGTAACCTAAGAAACAAAGGGTGAAAATAATTATTGATGGTTCGTTCAGGTTGTGTCTTATAAGTGCATAGAATCTTGAGATTGCATCACCTCACTCTTAAACTCATTCTTTCCAAACTCTTTCTTTCTTTCTTTCGGCAACATGATGAATGCGTGTGCGTGTGTTTGTGTTAGATATTAGTTTAATGTGTTAGTCATAGGCTTATAATCAATAAAGTATTGTTTGTATTTGAAAAGAGAAGCATTACTTGTGTTATGTGCTTACGAATTTATTGTCTTGAACTGTGATCTAAGCTACCTATGCTTTTACCCTTGATTTATTTCTTAATTTAGCTGTTAGCTGGGTATTAGTCTTTCTTGGCCAGGAAGATATTATATTTCCTAGAATTAATAATTGTTTATGCTTTCCGTTCATTGGATGAACTGATAAAATGATCATACTATTGATTCTGCTACAGTAAATTCTGAAAATAATTAAATTATTAATTATTGATCATAATCCGTTATAAATAATAATTAGTTATATTTATACGGGCGTATAAACGCTACACCTTCATAGGCAAGATCATTGAAAAAGTTGTCTTCAATCAGCTGAACAAATTCTTAAGCTTGAATGGATACTTTGACAATTTTCAATCTGGTTTCCGATCGCATCACAGCACAGAGACAGCGCTCATAAAGATAATAAACAATATTCGCTTAAATACTGATACAGGCAAATTATCAGTACTGGTACTACTCGACCTCAGTGCTGCATTTGACACTGTCGATCACGACATACTTCTTGACAGGCTGGAAAACTGGGTGGGGCTTTCTGGGATAGTCCTAAAATGGTTCAGGTTATACTTAGAAGGGAGAGGTTATGTGAGTATAGGAGACGATAAGTCTGAGTGGACATCCATGACTTGCGGAGTCCCTCAAGGCTCAATTCTTGCGCCACTCCTGTTCAACATGTATATGCTCCCAATGAGCCAAATAATGAGAAAGAACAAAATTGCTTACCACAGCTATGCAGACGACACACAGCTCTACTTAGCCCTATCGCCTAACGACTACAGCCTCATTGACTCCCTGTGCCAATGCATTGATGAAGTAAACAGTTGGATGTGCCAAAACTTTCTTCAGTTAAACAAAGACAAAACTGAAGTCATTGCGTTTGGAAACAAAGATGAAGTTCTCAAGGTGAATGCATACCTTGACGCTAGGGGTCTAACAACTAAAAATCAAGTCAGGAATCTTGGTGTGTCTCTAGAGTCAGACCTTAGTTTCAGTACTCATGTCAAAGCAATAACTAAATCAGCATACTATCATCTGAAAAATATTGCAAGAAGTAGATGCTTTGTTTCCAGTCAAGACTTAGAGAAACTTGTGCATGCTTTTATCACCAGCAGGGTGGATTGTAATGGACTCCTCACTGGCCTTCCTAAAAAGACCATAAGACAGTTGCAGCTCATACAGAACGCTGCTGCCAGGATTCTGAGCAGGACCAGAAAATATGAACATAATCACACCAGTCCTCAGGTCTTTACATTGGCTCCCAGTTACATTTAGGGTTGATTTTAAAGTATTATTACTGGTATCTAAATCATTCAATGGGCTAGTACCTCGATATATTGCAGATATGCTCACTGAATATAAACCTAACAGATCACTCAGATCATTAGGATCACATCAGCTAGAAATACCAAGGGTTCACTCTAAGCACGGAGAGTCTGCTTTTAGCTATTATGCCAGCCGCTGCTGGAACCAGCTTCCAGAAGAGATCAGATGTGCTCCTTCAGTAGTTACATTCAAATCTAGACTCAAAACACATCTGTTTAGCTATGCATTTACTGAATGAGCACTGTGCCACTGTTCGTCCGACTGTTTTTACTGTACTTTATTTTTTATTCTAAACTGTTTTAATTATTCTTATTTGTTTTGATTATTTTAATTTCTTATATGTAAAGCACTTTGAATTACCATTGTGTATGAAATGTGCTATATAAATAAACTTCCCTTGCCTTCTGTAATACCCTTTTTCTATCTGTAGTTAAAGTAAGATAATGTAGTCAGGAAATGTTACTCTGTAATAGCCTTTGATCTAAACGAGTTCCTAACTGAAATTACCATGCCAAACAGATAAGATATTTTTGTAATATGACACAGAAACACAAATCAACAAACTTATAAAACACAATATAGATTTACCACAGCAACAAGAAACCACAAAGAGAACCATACAAATAACTGTTCTCGTAAGAGGGAACAAATTAAAAACACACAATTCACTCAGACTCAGCAGTTATACATTACAATGGTAATTATGAACCATAACAAGAAATAACAAACAGTCAAAAAAATACTCAAGAGACTGATGTGCAATCAGCAGATCAAACAGGTGGCAGCTGGTGAAGACAGACAAGCCAGCAAGCCGCACCCGCTCCGACTGAGGCGCATAATGACACTTCAACAACGTGCACAGTTACTATAAAATTAGATGTAGAGGCAAAACAGCAATGTAGTCACTTCACGATTTAAGATGCTCAATCCCATTAAGTAGGCAGGGAGGACCCTCAGATCTGCAGAGCATAATATGTTAAAGAGAGTATCAAATCAACAAAGCTAAAATTATACATACCGCGAGGTGATCAACGTAAATATCAGCATCATTTCTCTCCCCATTATTAGTTTATCTGGAATAATAAAGATACTTTAAAGCACAAATCTCTCTTTTACAAGAACTGGTTTGATGATAATATTAACTTTGTTGGTCAATTATATAATGAAGGACAGCTTCTCTCATATAAAGAATTTCTCTCGTTTTAAAATACGTGTTTCTCAAAAATAGTTTTCTATTGTTATTGGTTCGATTCCATTGGGTACTCATTTGTTATTTAAGGGTGAACTTGAATACTTTTTCTCTGAGGTGACTTCATTTGATGGTTTTGAAACCTTTTTTGGCGAAATTTGTTTTTCATTAACCTCCAAAAATATTAATAGAGCAATCCGCACTCTTTTTCAAAAAGAAGTTGTTACTACACCATGGCCCGGTTTCACAGACAAGTACCACCACACAACCCCCTGTACTTTTTTTTTTTTTTTTAATTACCTACTCTGTGATTCTTCTTACATTATTATTCTGTCTGGCTTTGCTCATTGCTGATCATCATAGTGATTTAAATAGCAGGAAGGAAAAGGCAGAGTACAGCCCTGATAAGCTTTCCTGTGTATATTTTTGTTTCCAGTATGTGGACACCCTGCAGTTCTGACCTGTAGCTTTCTCATGTTTAACCAACCTTAAAAATACCAGGCATCTTGAGACGGTAAGTGCTGCCTTTCTCAGTTTCTCTTTGTTTTTTGATAAGCCACTGGGTTTAGGTAGATGTTTATGACAACATCAATGTACCATGCCAAATATAGCTATTTTTGGGGATATCACAATTTGTGCTTCTTGTTCATTTTTCATTTCGTATTTCTTTTATGGGTTTGTGCTTTTGTTCTGTCTGTGCTGAAAATAATTGTATTTTATATATATTTGGCAAGCATATATCTACCAACTTTATTTTTAGCTTGTTGTTCATGTTATTGTCTTTCCCCAGATTTGTGCACATACGCCAACTGATACAATGGGGCGTTTGCGGTTTCCTGCATTTCTCCTGGTTATCTTGTACACTGTAAGGTCTCCATTGAACATATCCTCATTACTTTAAACTGTTTAACTTGGAGAACTCATCAAACTTTGTGAAGCATAAGTCTTTGATTTTATTTCTCTCCAAATTTCTTTTGCTTTCAGACTGTGGTGCAGATAACCGAAGAGCTGATACACGTGAGCATGTTTCCTGAAGCTGCAGATTACTCATTCTACAGTTGTCGGAAAGAGATGCTGCAAATGGTCACAAAAGCTGGAGGTTTGCTGGAGACAGAGCTTAAAAACAATATAGATTTTATGGATATGTGGAAAGGTAGCACAACATGTGAGGCCATTCCAGATGGTACACCGGAGCACATGACTGCACTGCAGAGCTATGTTGAAGCTGGTTCGGAATTTCATGAAACATTTAATAAGTTGGTTCACACCAAAAGCAGGGGCAATTCAACTTACCAAGATATGTTTCCTTTCAAATCTCTTTTCTTCCTGCTGACAGATGCAATGCAACTATTGAAAAGCAATTGTAATACAGTGTACTCTGCTACAGAGGAGAAATATAGCTTTAACATTGGGGACAAAGTACGTTTTGAGAGTTTTTTTCCAGCAGAACTGGTATATAGTGCTGCAACCGAAGATGCAGCAACTTTTGAGACCACTGGGACTGTTTTCAATATCAATTCCTGTTCTGTGATCAACCTTGATAAAGTGTGTATATCAGAGGATATAGATCTTCTAATATCACCCACTGAAGTTTTCACAGTTAAGGATATCAAGACTGTTAGTAATAGTAATGACCATTATATAGAGATCAACTTAATGCATTCACACATGTACAGCTCCTCCAACTGCAGTAGCCTTGTCAGGTAAGAGACAGAGAGAGAGCAGTTAAAGGATTAGTTCACTTCAGAATTCAAATTTCCTGATAATTTACTCATGCCCACATCATCCAAGATGTTCATGTCTTTCTCTCTTCAGTCGAAAAGAAATGAGGGTTTTTGAGGAAAACATTCCAGGATTTTTCTCCATATAGTGGACTTCAATGGGGTACAATTGTTTCCCAGCTGAGGAATAAGGGTCTTATCAAGCGAAACAATCACTTTGAAAAGTCATGCGTGTTTTGGTTAAAAAAAGTAGGTATAGGGTGAAAAACGCCATCTCATTTTCTCCTCCAACTTCAAAATCGTCCGACACAGTTGTTTTACCTTTTATTTAATTATTTATTTATTTTTGTAAATGGCGTTTGACTTAGTCTTTGCACGTTCGCATTGTAAACACTAGGTCCGTACTTCCGCCTATGTCACGCGTGACCTTTCAACGTGATTACGTAATGCGTGGTGCATCGCAGAGTTAATGCAGGAGGAGCATTTGTGGTTAAAAAGTATAGACATTTTTTTTTTTTTTTTAGAAAATGACCGATCGTTTTGCTAGATAAGAACCTTAGTCCTCGGCTGGGATCGTGTAGAGCCCTTTGAAGGTGCATTGAAACTGCAATTTGGACCTTCAAACCGTGGTACCACATTGAAGTCCACTATATGGAGAAAAATCCTGGAATGTTTTCCTCAAAAACCTTAGTTTCTTTTTGACTGAAGAAAGAAAGACATGAACATCTTGGATGACATGGGGGTGAGTAAATTATCAGGAAATTTTAATTCCGAAGTGAACTAATCCTTTAAGATTTATTTGTTTGAATAAAACTCATGTTGAAATATTAATTTCTAATAAACAAAGCATAACTAAAATAAACCTACTGACTTGAATTTTCTCTTTCTGTCTAAAGTGTGTCTAAAGAATCATCTTCAAGTTTCCTGAGTTCCAGTGCCCTGAGTGTGATGGCTTCTTTACTCATGATGTACTTCTACATGCCGACTCTGTAAAATACCCTGTATGTTCTCAAAAATGCACAAACTCATGTGGAAAAGTAAAAGCGGCATTCTTTTTTTTAATGAGTTTTATAAACACATTCAGTTTTCTTGACTTATAAGGAAGAATTTATCACAATAGTAGATTACATTGTTTCAATGCATATTCTCTGTTCTAATCCTTATGCCTATAATTTACACCCATCTAAATTTATATAATAGGCCTATAGTCTTTTTAGTAAACCTATATGTGCTTTAGTGTTTTTGACATTTCTTTGAAAGTCTTTATTCCATAAATGTGTTTTACATGCATATTAAATGTTTCTTGTCTGGTATGTTGTGTTCTGTCAATGTCATAGGTTTTACAATTACCTGATTGTTGGTAATTGTAGGGTTGGTGGAAATCATCAAGTCATCATTAGGAGTCTTTTGTTAATCATTCAGACTTTACTTCAGAAAGTGACATGTTCAAGCTGTGGCGGGCAGTTTTCCAGGAGCAGTGTCAGCCTAACAAAAATATGTTATTAAAATGTTTTGCTAACATTCCCATTAAGTTATGAAAACATTCTTTCTGAATGTTTTTTTTTAAATGTTTTTTTTTCAAAACGTCAATTTTAATATATTAAGAACTTTCATCCACAGGACTTGAACCGTGGACCTTCTCGCTGTGACGTGACAGTGCTCTGAGCCACTGTCCTGCCCTGGCTGTTTATATTTATGTTTATATGAATTCAAGAGATAAAAATAGATAAAATGTAAGCAATACCTTTCTTGTTGGTTGTTTACATTTTTCCAGAGTATAAAAGATTCTAAGTTTCATTTCATTTCATTTATTTTCATTTATTTGTTTATTTTACAGGGACAGTGCTCATTAATTAACAGTAAAATAACTGTAAATGAGCCAGAGTTAGCTCAACAGGCTAATTTTCATCTGTTGTCCCTAGCCAGTTATTATGAAGGCAACCTAAAATCGAGATATAAAACCAAAAAATTACTGTTTACAGTCCACAAATAGTATCAGCATAGAAAAGTAATGATAAGACAGATACAACACACAACAATAAGTAACAAGCAACATCAGCACACAACATAGGCTAAAAAAGGAGAGAGAACCAAGTTTGACACAAGACAATCTGCTAGCAAGCAACATTTCTCAGTAGGCAGTCAGTAGTCCAATGTGCACATATCTTATTATCAATTAGCCAGTACTTAAGCTGACCAGTATAAGTCTTTGTTTCTCTTCTCAGACTTGGCAATAGATTCCACTGTTTAGTTGCAGTCAGAGGTGTAGTGGTAAAAAAAGAGGTGGGTAAACTATAAATTCTGGTGGACCACGACGTGGTCACCCGGTAAGGTGGGCCACTGCCTAATGGTGTATGTGTGTCCTGATGACATTGCTATAGGGAGGGCTCATTAAGCCTTTTCACACGCTTGTTCTTAGGACAAGTAAATCTGTCATTCACTTGTCCGAGTAAAAAAGTTGCTCGTCCGGATTTTTTTTTTGTGTGTGTGTGTGTGTGTGTTAATTTATTCTGAAACAATATTCTCATCAGTGTTCAATCAGCTTTGATATTTAAATCGGCATACTGTAATATCTGCACCTTTAAAGGGCATCCCCTCCCCCACTATTTTTAAATGTATGCTTCATCTTTCATTTTTAAATTCCTAAATTTGATCAATAAATTCAATTATTTCGAATAATAAGACACTATAGGGCTGTTACCCTAGGGGCTGATCAAATTAAATCATTTACACTGAAAAATTACAATTGCATAAAATAATTTAATGAAATTGATTTAAATTTACATATAAGAAACATTGGAAAGAATTATACTACTTTTAAACATAACACTTAACCGCCAGTAGGTGGCGGCAGGCGACCGTCTTAATGAGTGAGTCATTGATTCATTCAATCAAACGATTTGTTCAAACGGCTGATTCATTCAAGAATGAGACAGATGTTTATGAATGGGTCATTGAATCTTTGACTCAATCGATTCGTTCAAAATGCTGAATCATTCAGTAATGAAAACAGGTTGAGTGTTCCTGTGAGATGCGCCGTGGTTCTGCTGTGATTTTTGTTTGGAACTATTTTCGCCGTTGAAACAGAACAAAAACAGGCAATATTGCATCTAAAATGTAAGTGACTTAATTGTAACTGTTTGTTGAACTGTTGTAGGAAATCAATGTCACATTTTCAATCGTGATGGTGTTCAGGAAAAATAATTGAGGTTGCTTAACATATGTTAAAAGTATAAAAACTCCACATTTAGATATTTAATAGGCAGTATGTTGTTAACTGAGTGTGTGTGCGCTCATTTGTGTAGATTTCTCCTCGAGAGGCTGCGCGAGCGTCAACAGCGCAACCTCACCGTCAGTAATAGTCAACAACACTGACAGTAATTCAGCGCAATATGAAAGAGTTCGTCTTAGGTTTATCAACCTATGAAACTAATAATGAACAATATGAAACTAAAACGACATAAGCTTAATTTAAAATGTCTACAGGCTATTTAGAGGTGGATAAACGCAATTTAGAGGTGGATAAACGCACTTTGGAGGTGGGTAAACGCTATTTACGAATATTGGGAGGTGCGTAAACGGCGTTTACGTGCGTTTAGCCTCCACTACATCCCAGTTACAGAGAACGCTGACTGACTAAAGGCACTTTTTCGAGTGGGAATGATACAGTCCCCTCTTGTGATACCTCTGGTGACATGAGTGCCTGCTCTCTGCATAACAAATCTCTTAAGTGGAGGTGGAGCTGTGCTATGCAATATCTTATACACTAAGACAAAGGTTACTGTAAGTGATCAAGTTTTCCCAACTCAGAAGTCTATGGGTATTTAAAATTTGACAGGTGTGAAATCTATTAGGTTTCTGAACTAAAACTTTAAGAGTACGTTTATAAAGACATTCCAGTGACTTCATTGTAGACTTATTAGCTTGTGCCCAGCTTGTCAAACAGTAGCCTATGTAAAATCATGGCATTCATATATATCATAGCAGTTTCAAAGTTGAATGATTCCCTAACAAATCTAAAATTACTTAAGTTAAATCTAACTCGTTTGCACATACTTTTTACATGAGTTCTAAAACAGAGATTCGAATCAATCCAAACACCCAGATACTTGTATTCAGTCACAACTTGCAAATTTTGACCTGATATCATTATGTCAGGGTCTGGAACGCTACATGGTCGTTTTGAAAAGAACATGCTAACTGTTTTACAAACATTTAACGTTAGACATGATCTGTCAAGCCATGTTGTGATATAGTTCATTGCACTGGTTAGTTTTAAAGCAGCTTGCTGTTTTGTGCTGCTATGTACATAAATAACAGCATCATCAGCATATAATAGGATTTCTATATCGGGACAAACTTAAGGCAAATCATTAACATAAAGACTGAACAGCAATGGCCCAAGTATAGATCCTTGCGGAACACCAGTATTATTTGTATAAGCAGTGGATTTATGGTTTTGAACCTTTACATAATTTGTTCTTCCCTTTAAATATGAATCAATCCAATTAATGGTATCATTGGAAAAATTAAAATAAGCTAATTTGTTAACAAGTATACCATGATTCACAGTGTCGAAGGCCTTTTTAAGGTCCAAAAAAATTGCCCCCACAATACCACCCGTATCCATCATAGATTTAATGTTTTCCAGAAGGAAAAGGGTAGCAGTCTCTGTTGAATGGTGAGCTCTAAAACCAAATTGCATAGGATGCAGGCTAAAGTCACTGTTGTTCAAATAAAAGACTATTTTCTCTGAAACCCACTTCTCCTTCACCTTGGATACAACAGGCAAAATGCTGATAGGTCTATAGTTACTGATAATCTGGGGATCTCCTCCTTTAAAAATTGGTGACACTTATGCACTAAGTGCATTAAATATTTGAATAACAAAAATAACAGATACAACTTTACTTTAAGATTCACATTTTGCTGCAGTAGTACACTAAGAGTCTCTGGGAAGTACACAGTCCAAAACATAAATCATAAAGAGCAAAGCCTATATTTTCTAAACCAAAAACACAACCCCACCAAGTTAATCAAGGGAAAAAAGAACATAAACTCAAACTGCAGACAAGTCAAAATGATCAAAACATGTGTAAAACAAGAAAAAGAAAACACCAAAAAATGTATCCTGTGTATATGAACTATT